TATATTTAATTAAGCTTGGTATTCAGCAAATTATTGACAGCTCTACCAGTACTCTGTGTTTTCTTGGTTTAATAAAAAAACTGTTTGAATCCTGAAAATGTAAATTCTAATAGCTTGTGTGAAAGAAGAAAGTCAAGTCTTGTGTAGTGGTGACAGATGCAATTAGCACTGATGGCAGAAATTAATCATATTGCCTGAGGCTGGCTGACTCTTGGTGATGATGTAACTGACCATTTGGCAATGTGTCGATGTGCTTTGTGCCCCCAAACCAAACAGAATAACCTAGGCAAAAATGGAAATGGCACTCCCAAAAAGTGGAAGTAGATTGATGCTCTTCCACTGCCAGGTTATCAGTGTTCCCCATAACACAGAATCATAGAATCGTTAGGGTTGGAAAGGACCTTAAGATCATCTAGTTCCAACCCCCCTGCCGTGGGCAGGGACACCTAATGCTAAATCATCCAAGGCCTCGTCCAACCTGGTCTTGAACACCGCCAGGGATGGAGCATTCACAGCCTCCCTGGGCAACCCATTCCAGTGCCTCACCACCCTCACAGGAAAGAATTTCCTCTTTATATCCAATCTAAACTTCCCCTGTTTAAGTTTTAACCCGTTACGCCTTGTCCTGTCAGTACAGTCTCTAATGAAGAGTCCCTCCCCAGCATCCCTATAGGCCCCCTTCAGATACTGGAAGGCTGCTATGAGGTCTCCACGCAGCCTTCTCTTCTCCAGGCAGAACAGCCCCAACTGTCTCAGCCTGTCTTCATATGGGAGGTGCTCCAGTCCCCTGATCATCCTCGTGGCCCTTCTCTGGACTTGTTCCAACAGCTCCATGTCCTTTTTCTGTTGAGGACACCAGAACTGCACACAATACTCCAGGTGAGGTCTCACAAGAGCAGAGTAGAGGGGCAGGATCACCTCCTTCGACCTGCTGGTCACGCTCCTTTTGATGCAGCCCAGGATACGGTTGGCTTTCTGGGCTGCAAGTGCACACTGCCAGCCCATGTTCAGTTTCTCATCAACCAACACCCCCAAGTCCTTCTCTGCAGGGCTGCTCTGAATCTCTCCTCTGCCCAACCTGTAGCTGTGCCTGGGATTGCTCCGACCCAGGTGTAGGACCTTGCACTTGGCATGGTTAAACTTTCATGAGGTTGGCATCAGCCCACCTCACAAGCATGTCAGGGTCCCTCTGAATGGCATTCCTTCCCTCCAGGGTATCAACCGAACCACACAGCTTGGTGTCATCGGCAAACTTGCTGAGGGTGCACTCAATCCCACTGTCCATGTCAGCGACAAAGATGTTGAACAAGTCTGGTCCCAACACCAATCCCTGAGGGACTCCACTCGTTACTGGTCTCCAGCTGGACATTGAGCCATTGACCACAACTCTTTGTGTGCGGCCATTTAGCCAGTTCTTTATCCACAGAGTGGTCCATCCATCAAATTGATGTCTCTCCAATTTAGAGACAAGGATGTTGTGTGGGACAGTGTCAAACGCTTTACACAAGTCCAGGTAGATGACATCAACTGCTCTACCCCTGTCCATCACTTCTGTAGCCCCATCATAGAAGGCCACCAAATTGGTCAGGCAGGATTTCCCCTTAGTGAAGCCATGCTGGCTGTAACCAAGCACCTTGTTGTTTTTCACGTGCCTTAGCATGCCTTCCAGGAGAATCTGCTCCAAGATTTTGCCAGGCACAGAGGTGAGACTGACTGGTCTGTAATTCCCCGGGTCATCCATTTTCCCCTTCTTGAAAATGGGGGTTATATTTCCCTTTTTCCAGTCATTGGGAACTGCACCTGACTGCCATGATTTTTCAAATATGATGGCCAGCGGCTTAGCAACTTCATTTGCCAGCTTCTTCAGGACCTGCAGATGGATTTCATCAGGTCCAATGGACTTGTGCAATTTCAGGTTCTTGAGACGGTCTTCGGACCAGATCCTCTCCTACAGTGGGCCCAAGGTGTTCATTCTCACAGTCCCTGCTTCTGCCTTCCAAGACTTGGGTGGTTTGGTCAGAGCCTTTGCCAGTGAAGACCGAGGCAAAGAAGTCATTCAGAACCTGATCCCATGGCAATCCCATATTTACTGTGGATAAGCGTTAAGAAGTGGATCCAGGTTAAAACTAAACAATTTGGCTAAAAAAACCAAACTTTTCTGTAGGTCAGTACCTAATATATTCAGCTGAGAGCCAAATCAGTATCAATGCTAGCACAGGCTGTGAGAATAAGTAGACAGGACCAGCCCCAATCAGTTTTACTGGTATGCCTTTGAAATACTTCTACTAATCACTGGCAGATCCAGCATACCATTTTCAATAAGCTTTAATGGCATGTATAAGGAACTACAGTCAGGACCATGCAATTATTATTCAGGATGCTAAATACAATTAAATGGTTGTCAGTTTATTTATTGAGTACTGCACATTTTAAAATAATTTATAGCTGATTTAATAATATTAAGTGATGAGATAAGCAGTTTGCTTCATGCTACAAATACAGTGAAAGTAAATGGGTTTTCTTCTTCTGACATACTGAAAAGCACATTCACTTCCTCTTCATTACATAAACATTTTTGATCTGCTCACTAGAATATGAGTTAGTGTTTGCCAATATTGCATAAGGTAGAACCTCTATCATGACTAAGGATGTTCTGTTGATTTTCAAGGAATCTAGCCAGAGCTGTACATTCACAGTGATAATTAAGAAATATGGCTTGCACTTAGTGTTACTTGCTCAAGTTAACAGTAACTTCCATTATGTTGGCTTATTGCATCTATGCACAGAGATTGCTCCTAATACCCTAACAGCAAACACTAAGAACCATCTAAAAATTTACCATTTCTACTTCAATGCACAAAGTTTTGCAAGCAGAATATGGTTTTCATAGGGAATCTTGCTCACTGCTTGTCAATCCCCTCACTCGGCATTTCTTAACGTCCCAGTGGCAAGTGTTGTATGTGCTATCAGTCTGAGGCAGGTGAACTTCTTAAGTAAGGTAGTGCTGTGCTGATGACCATTTGTACATCTTCTTACAGTCAGTAGAACCGCTTTATAGGGAAGCTGTAGCCTGTGGCTGCAACCAACATGTTCTCACAGACTTGATATAAAGGAAGTCCTACATACTGAGCCTACAACATCCTTTAATCCGAAAATGGTTTGTCCCCTGATGTAACTGTTTCTAATCATGGAATTGCACTATACCACTAAATCTGCAGTTCACTCCAGATTTCGTCATTATGTCATATTAACAACTGTTTTAAGGAATAAGAAAATGCTTTAGTGAATAGTGCATAATATTACAATATGATTTACAATAATGCATAGTCTTCAGTGAATAGCTGTGATCATGGAAAAAGGGATATGGAATAAAGAAAGGCAATTTTACCATTTAAATTCGAATAAATGCAATATTTAAAAACTTCAAAATCCAGGATCACAATATGAATCCTCACCTAAATCTTTTGATCTGTGGGATTGTGTACTACCCCAGGCATCTTCCATTAAATTGTTTTCACAAATACAGAAACCTAATAAACTTTCTGTGGGCAAACCCTATACTGCTTCCTGCTGGTTTAAGAAGAGGGCATAGTACTTCTTTATTTCTTAAGGCATATAAAGGGAGAAAGTACAGTCAATTCATTAAATCTTTTGAGTGGCATGCATAGAGATCTTCTGTGGAGATCAGGAAATACAATAAAGTGCTGGAGATCCACAGAATTCTTATAAAGCTCAAAGAAATCAACTTTACATTCTGTAGGAAGGGGCCCTATTCTCATGGACATACACAAAATATAAATAGCTTAAAAAATTATACCTTGAAAATCAGTATTGTATTTAGTTGAGTGTCTCCTAACCCTCCCCCCCCCCAAAAAAGAAAACAAAACCAAAACCAAAAAAACACCAAAACCAAAAGACAAGGAATACTGAAATCAGAATAACTGTGTCGTGACTAAACAGGTATTGTATTTGGTTAGAACATAATTATGTAGATGGGGCAAGATTTCCTAGCAACTTCATTTTCTGGATTTGAAGGGTGAGGGTTTCCTGGTCTATCAAATCATAGCAGAATACAGTGGACCAAGAATACATGAGACCAAGACTATGTTTAGAGACTTGGTTGCTTATGTAGCACCTTCTCACTTAAATTAAAAAAGGCAAAAAAGGGATAAAGTGACTTGTACAACTGCTTTAGGCACATAAACAGCCTAAAGACGAAGTAAAAGTAGGCTGCTTCCTTCTTTAAGAGGTCAAACCCTTTTGTTTTTACAGACAGATATTAAAACATCTGCTCTTCAAGATACACTTTTGTAGACAGTACTAAGCTTCCATAACCTCAGCATATAAACAACAGAACCCTCTAGTTGATGGTATCTCAAGGCTTTATCTTGATCCTTCTTTCCTTTTAGAACTCTCTTTTTTCCTCAACTGGCAATTTCAAGAACTTGCCATGAGCTAAAGAATTCATTCTTGGCCTTTAAAACAATTTATCATGAACTTTAAAATACTAAATTAGTGCTTAATGAATCAACTTTGAGCGTCAAATATAAAAATTGAGCCAAATACAGAGTAGAGAATATTGTGCCTTGCAGTTATATTTAATACAAATGTGTGTATTAGGATGATTAGTTGTACAATTAAGTCTGATGACCACAATAATCTGTATCACAATCAAGAGAATAACGCACATACCACTTGCAGTCAAAAGGAAAGAAATCCTGTACATGAAGGTTTCCAGTGTATTTAAGAAACCTTTCCTTGAAGATCCTTGCAGAAGCCCCTGCTATACACACAAAATCAATGCAACAAAACCGCCACTAAAATTATGGTTTAATCCACTTGGCAACAAAAACGTCAAAACACTCAAAAAAACTACATTACTCAATGAAACTAGTAAGTTATTCTTCAGAGAATTTTCACCACAAGTTTGTCCACAAGCTGCAAGTGTTCTTCTAATGCACATGTAATTTATGAAAAGAAAAAGTATAGGCCACAAACTGAAAGAACACATTTATTGAATAAAAGTCAATACTTTCCTTTTAATATCTCCAAGCCAACACTGAACTGCCTTTATTCAAGAATGAACACAATGTACAAAAAAAGTATGTCTGTTATAAAAATATGCCATTTCTTTTTTCTCCTGGTTATTGAGTTGAAGACATTTTGACAAGTGCAAGATATGTTTGGCAAGTAAATTTAAGTCACTATTACAAAAGTTCAAATAATTTTGTAATCATAGTTTATTTAAGACTCATTGATAAAGTGGCATTGGAAATGTTGACCTCTAAAAAAAAAAAAAAAAGTATCACTGCACTGCCATGTTTATGCACCCAGACAATTGAACATCTTGATCTTATATTGTCACAGATAGTACCTTTAATCAGTGAAGACTATCCAACCTAATTCGAACTACTGAATCAGATAACTGACACCTACCACTGGAATACAATTTAGGAAAGGCAAACTACCACCATGGCCCTACATTTTGTGTGGTGTTTGTGAACTGAGAGAGGAGACTAGGTAGGTTCATACATGTTTAAATCAATCTGACAGCTGCTGCAATGTGAAATCAGGGGAAGTATGGAAAAAGAATAAAGAATCATTGACAGCAATCTATGTTTATGAACACAGGAGTGCTCACATATAAAAACAGATCGAACTAGGCTCAGTTATGCCTTGTTTGGATGGTTTTTTTTTCCCCACATAAAAATTGAACTCAACCAGGACTCAAATCATTGAATTCTCTCAAACCACCACCAAGGAGGAAAAAAAGGGACCATTTATAGAGACATCTGAAAACAGTGCAATATTAAAATACAATTTCACAACGTTTGAAAGAAACATGCTTTGGAACCTGAGCAAAAGGCGTTTTACTGACTTAGTAAAAAGTCACCCTGTAGGTTGTTTTCATTGGCATCTGTTCTGCCAGATTAGTATGTTGCTCTTAGCAACTTCCATGGCCCCTAAATATTTAGTACACAGAAACTGCCAACTACTCGAGAGGTCTACTAAACTTTTCAGCTAATATTGCAGGCAGTCTGACATGCTGCTACTGGAAATGACCATACAGCCTAAAATTAAGAAAAACTGCAAAAAGAAGCAGCCAAACGTCTGCTTTTCTTTTTTAAACAGACTAAAGCGCTTCCACAACACTTAGATACGGTACTACACTGGTTTACAGTTTCAAGGTCAGCTCTTTCAAAATAAATATACTTGAACATTTACAACAAATGCCTCATGAACGCAAGCTCTGTCTTTATTACTGCAAGACCAGCTGGATAATAACTAAAATAAAAACATAATTCTGAAGCAGCTAAGTTACAAATCCTTTGTCAGAAACAGGCATGACTTGGTGCCACAGCAAAATCTTCCACCAGTCTGCAGTAAGCAATTTTTATTTTGTTTTCCTGCTTAGCACCAAGAGGGCCACCATACAAAGCAACCTCACAAAGCATGCGGTCATCTACTCTGCTGATTTTGTATGAAATAATAATTCGTGCTTGCAGGTCCTAGACTTTTCAAAAATGGGTATGAACAATAGGTGATTGAAGACATTAATGGAAACTCACTCATCTCTACATGACTTTAGTGGAGAAAAGATTTAATGATTAAAAAGCAGCAGAATGTTGTGAGGAGTTGTGAGGGATTAGGGAAGCTCAGGTTGGTGCTTTAATTTGCCTTAAAAGCAAACAAAAAACTAAAACCAATCCTAAACAGCTCTATGTTCACGTTCTGGTAGAAGCAAACATGTACATGCCACTGAAAGGCATGGTCGGACCAATCTGATAAATGGCATCATCATCAGAGCAGAACAGCAACTTTTCACTGGAGTAACCACAAAGGGTGAACAACAAGTCATCACTTCTCTCATCATGAGCACAGAAAGCAGTCACCAAGGCAAAAAAGAGGACACAGGAAAGAAGATACAGGAACCCACATGAACCTGGAAGACAAACACCACACATTAAACTGAGTTTTGAACATTCTGAGTGACCATTTTCCCTACTTTTAACATCACTATTCATTGATTCAACACCTTACATGCTACGCTTAAATGGATGGAACTCTTGCAAATAATGGTATACTAAATATATCACAAAATTACACAACCAACTTCGCTTGCAAAGATTTGCCTACATCATCATCTTTGGTATAAAACAAGCTTACAGACAGACTGATGCAGTCTGGACAAACTCAATCATTGTTGAAAAAGAATAACATGCTTACATGACACAGTATTTTTTACTCAGAAATGCATTTTAAAATTGGGCATCATAAACATGCAGCTATTTATGGTAGCTAATTATGAAGTAGTATGATTGTTCTTCTTACTACTCTACCAGTGCCTAAAAAGCACAGTGCAATACTTACTGGAAAGGTTTCCCCAGGGTTATCCTGCCTTTGTATCTACAAGCTGCATCTGAACATTTGCAGACATGCCACCTCCATAGCCTCCCTTGGACTGCATTTGGTTCTGAATTGAGCTCACCTGGAGACAGAAGGTAAAGGGGGGCAGAGAAAAGAGGAAAAGCAATGAATTATGGCATCTTCCTGCTTCCAATCCTATTTCTTGTTTAGGTTTGGTTTTCAAGTGCTCCTTTAGCATTAAACCTGCATTACTTTTGCATGAGGACATGTGCAGCGTAGGCTTGCTGGAATTTTCACTTCTGCAGGCAACTCAGCAGGAGAGAGGGAAGAACCGATGCTTAAGCAGAAGTTTTTCCTCTCTCCTAAAGAAAACTGATTCAGGCTTTCACTGACCTTCTTGATTACTCAAAAAAATTTAATTATATCTCTCACTAGTATCCAATTCCACTCCATCTGACAAGCTATAATTTACCTCGTTACATGGAAAGTGTTCTTGGCAAGTATGATAAATCAGAGAAGTTGACACTGTTATGTTAGAAGTGTAACAGACCACTTACAAAATATCTGCACCGTATGGCTAACTTCAGATAATTTAAAAAAAAAAAAAAAAAAAGACTTTCTAAACCAAAAACGAGCTTTTGGTTTGTGAAAGGTTTTTTTATTTATCTATTGACATAACAGCATACGCTGTTTTCCTTTACTGCTTTATTCTTCTAGATGGCAGGGAATTTATTGTTTAAATCTTACTCAGTCTTCCAACTTCCCTGGAAATAGCTTATTTGAAGGTATTTTTAGCCTGATGCAAAGAAATATATAAAGAACACTTCCCCTCTCACTCCAAGACATACACATCCCTCTATGGCTTTCACTGACTTTCTCAACGAAAAGGAAGGGAATCCATAGTTTTTTACTGCTTGTGTTCCATGAGTCAAAATAATAATGTCCAAGTGCCTGCAGGAAGACAACTCCAGCATTAAAGGTTTTGCCTTTTTCCCTCTGTACCCCAGAGCATATATAACAAGTACACAATGAGCACAAAATAACATATTGAAGGCTACAGCTTCTGAAATTGAACTTGCAGCAAAGCCTATGCCTGCAGGGCATCACTTGCAATTATTAGGTGTATGCTCCTTCACAGAGACCTCAAAACAACACTAGAAAACTGCATTAAAACAGCACTGGAGAAATATTTTCAAGTAGCTTGCACATTATTTTCCCCATCTACAAAGACAAAAGAAATATATTCTTCTCTACAGCAAAGCAAAACACATGGACACACACAAAATGAACCAGCACCTCTTTCTTATACACAGTTTCTCAAGGTCATTGTGAAAGAGGAAAAGAAAAAAAAAAAAGTGCAAAAGATCAGTTTTTTGTGTATTTAAACTCAATACAAAATCATCTTCTACCTTGCTGTTTTGCTCAAATACGTGATACAGCTACAGCAGCAAAGCAAAGTTATAGTCGCATTTTTCGTCAGGGAAAAGTGTTCAGAGCCAATACAGACTACAAACTCAGTAACAAAGTGTGGATAAGTGCATCCACATCTATGGGGTGCTGTTTAAGAACTCTGACATTTTATCAAGCTGGTCACATGCACCAAGCATCTTCTGTTGCTCACTGGAACAAAAGGAGTTTGAATTTACTCTGGTGGTGTGGCTTTTTCTTTTTTCCTCTCACTCAGAAAATAATTAACATACATGTAAATGTATTCACAAGAATGACTTGAGGATGGCATTAATTTCACCTGCATGACCCTTGCTCTAGTGAAGAAGAGCTAGAAAAACATCTCCAGGCCATGTCAGCTTCCAGCCTGATAACTTGTATGGCTGAAGTGTAAATTTTTGAGTACTTCTATAGGTTAGAGTAATTTTTCTGGTACTTGAGTCACACACATAGATGCTTATGTTACTGGGTAAGGAAGTATCCGTCTGAAGCACAGAGGCTCTTACATCTAAAGCAAAGAGAACACAGCAAATTAAACTTGACTGCATTAGCAGTTCAGTGGCTGTTTTGTGTATGAAAGCTTATATAGGAGATACAGAATGTTAAAAACACTGAGCAAAAGCAGGTATAACAGCTGTAGGCTATCAGGTGTTACTCCTTCTGAAGCATTCTCCTCCTGAGGCAGTCTGAGCTACAAAAACATGCACCATGAAATGCAGTAATTTTTTTCTTTCCCAAAGACACCGCTGCCTTCCTTTGATGATATGTAACAGCATGGTTGTTCTCTCTTATGTCTAATTTAGATATGGTAAGAATTTAAAGATTTTGGAAAGTGAAGGGGATTGCGCCAATTAGAGATCATACAATCTGTTGTGCTGCTTACGTCTCATTAATTTTCTTCTTTTCTTTCCCTTTTAGAATCAGGAAATTGCACAGACGGTGCAATTTCTTTGAGAAAGAAAACAGGCAAAAACTAAGAAAAGGACAAAATACATGAACTCGAAGACAAAAAGAGGAATAGAAAGCAGAAAAAGAAAATGAGAGATTTCAGTATGGAATATGAACATAAAAGAAAGTGGTGATGGTAATGAGAAAGAAACAGTGCACAGAGGACTCCTACTGTTTAAATGTACCTTTGAAAAAGGAGTGAGACACTCTACAGAGAAAGCAAAGAAAAAAGCAAAATATTTCAGTAGTCAGAAAGTTACTATACTCAGAATCATAAGGGCATGTAATATAGAACAATGCTGATGAAAAAAAGGCACAGACCAGATAGCAAATAAGAACCAAATTCATATGGCAAAAGCTAATGAAATTGCAAAAGGTCCTCCTAAAGTATTCAGAAGAGAGAAGGCACAAGTAGATTCATGAAGGAGTATAATGTCCATACTATAAAGGAAATTAAGCAGCAGAAAAACATATGGAAGTTAACATTGTAATCTTGGAATTTACACCATGAAGAATTAACAAGGAGACTGGATGGAATATTACCACAGTAAGTCACCACAGAAGAGGCAGGAAAATAGCAGTGTGAAAAAGCAGAGATTTGTGCTTCTGAGGAGAGGGAAAAACAGGATTATTTTTTGCATAAAGATCCATTCTATATGGGATCAAAAAAATTACTCTCATCACCAACACAGCATATTATCCAAATGAAAAAAGTGAGAGAAGGAGATAGTCAGTTACGGGCTCTCAAAATGAAAAAGTTATGCAGAGAGACAATAATGATTACCTACTACCTAGAGATTAATTGGATATTGCAAAAGGCAAAGATGAGGGCAAGCAGAGGGAAACGTCTGAGGTGAATGAGCAAAGCTTCAGGCAATCACCACAATCCTCACAGGGGGCAGCTCAGCTGTGAGAATGAGGAAGGTTCTTACAAGAGGGACAACAAACATAAAAAGCAAAAAGCCATGCTAACAAGACAAACAAACAAAAAACCCCCAACAAACCAAACCTGCTACTTTATTTTAATTTATAATGGCTTTAAATATTAATGTAATATATTGCATTAAATGAATAATTAGCTTTAACTGAATTTTATCAAGTCGAAGCTGTGTTTGTCTGTTTAACTTGCTTAGAGATGTTTTTATACAAATCACTTCCAACCCATTACACTGTTTCTGGGAAAATGAAGCAAACTGCTTGCTACGTCAGATTTTCTAGCTTTGCCCTTCCCCAATATGGACTGAGTTACAAAAGATTTTGTTTGATCTCAATAAGCTGTCAACTAGTTGAAACTACAAATGATCTCACTTGCCTACATTAAAATGGTCTATTTCCTTTACAACTCTGCTTTCTACTTTGATACCTCTGAAAACTCTTTTTTCTCCTTTGCAAAAAGTATTTTCCATCATTTTAATCTCAAAACATCTTTTTCCTTTGAAGAGTACTATTAAGGTCAAGAAGTTAATTTTCATCATTATCTACATACAACCCTTTTTCTAGGGTGCATATTATTGACTTTAGCTGATTTTCAGGATCTGCCTTACCTTCTGGTTTTCACTTTCAGGGTGATAGAAATATTTACTGCTCCTGCCATCTACAGGAAGCCACAAAACCTTGCCTCTGACATTGTTGCTTGCTCTGGAAATAATTCACTCTGCAAACAGGGCTACATAGTACAGAAAAACCTCAAAAAGAACACTCAAGAAAATTTGTGTGCACCATAAACTGAGGTAAATTAGTTTTACATAAACTATATTTAAAATAGTTTAAAGCATTTAAGGTAAGAAATCTACTTAACTAGATTTCTAGACACTTAGAAGTTCTTTAAAGTACTCTAGGATATTTTCTAGATATACCTCTATTTTAGTGCATACATGCCATCAGAACAAAGTATTCTACACATAGCCTATACAATTTATACAGAATCTACTAGGTATTGTCCATAAATAGAGGAATTTTAAAAATGCTATTCCATAACCTTGAATGCAAGAGTTTAGGATTTAGGAGTAAGATGCTAGTATGTTGCTCCTTCATAGAGATTCTTTCTCATAGTTGAAAAATTTAAAAAAAATTGCAGCAGCCACAACATACACAGACAGTATTCCTGTATTCTGTTTAAAGTGAAATGTTCTTCATCTGCTCATGCTTACCGAATTCATTCCACTGAACAGATCCCCAGATCCTACATGAGCTGTGTGAACAAAGTTTGTCGGCTCTCCAATCATGCTTCGGTCAATTCGCCGCCGTCTTTTCTGAAAGGAAGGTAAAGAAACCATCTAAATAAGAGTCACTGAAAAGACAAAACAATGTGTGTCAAAAACATAAAAGTTAACTGTACATAGAATATTGCATACATTACAAGACTTCTTTTCATAGTCAAATAGCATAGTCCAAATTCCCAGGTTAAATAAGACACTGGCAATACTGTCCTTTGCATCTGTTACTTGAATGTAGAGTTGAATGGGGCTTTGAGCAACCTGGTATAGTGGAAGGTGTCCCTGCCTGTGGGAAGGGGGTTGGAACCAAATGATCTTTAAGGTTCCCTCCAACCGAAACCATTCTATGATTCTGTGATCTATACTAGACCATGAGACCAGCACTGATACAACTCTTCGTATTCAGGAATGGTACAAGTGGACCTACCATTTAAGTCAACAAAACTTCTGTAAATTACCTTAATACATTCCATGCTTTATTAGCAGTATTTGCAGTGTTTTATGCAGTAACTTCTGCCTATATTTGCATTTAAATGTTGATGTGACAGATAAAATTTGAGGTTTAGTCTTCCAAAACAAGAATTAAGGATCAAAGAGCACTAATACAGTCTACAAAAACACTAACTTACAGAATTTCTGATTTGCATGCCATGGGAACTTAGGTCACCATTTATAATACCCTTCATGGTGATGTTCAGAACAATGCCTTGAGTCTGATCAGGATTAGTCACAGACATATCTTTACTAAACACCGTATACACAGGTAATTTCCAGTCTGCACGGTTACAGAGTGTGAGCTGAAAGGGTGCAGTGTGATAGTGAGGCAGGATGCCACATTAGGGACTCTTGATTCCCACATGGTGAGACAGAAAACAAGAATTGCTTAACTTCTTCCCCCCCACAGTCCTTTGCCTTCTCAGAATCACAGATTCATTTTCTATTAATGTAATAACACACAAATAAAAGATCACAGGCAGTAAGGACTTCCTCTAATTAAATCTCCTTTGGTTGCCTGCCTCCAGCTAAGCATTTCATCTAAAGGAATAAAACAAGAAAACTCATTTCTTAGGCCAGAGCCAGGGAGCTTACACAGAGCAAACCATGCAGTGTGCAGTCAGTGTATGCCCATATCTTTATTTGAAAAAAAAAAAAACCAAAACCAACCAATGACCCCACCCCAAAACAAGCAAATAAAAAATACCCCACCCAACCCACAACCACCATACAAAAGTATGAGTATCTCCATTTAAGGTGTGTTATACAAAATAAAGATGTAACAGCTAAGAAACCACTTGAGAGCTTAACTAAAAGCTTCCCATCATCTTAAAGTCCACTCAGTCTCATTTTTAAAGGTATATCCGTTTCTAATCTGCAGTGAGATCGTAAGACCACCCAGACTAGAGACATGAAGGTACATGCCTCATGAGTGGGCTAGCTGCTATTGAAACACCACTACAGATTAAATCTTAATGAATCATAGCCCACAACTATGAGAATACGTCATGGGGTTTAGCCAGCAAGTACAAAACACATTTAATCCTTTACCATACCCTTCCCCTATTACTAAAGTCAGATTTTGGTACATTTCAGCACCTTATTGCACCATATTAATAGCTGGGGTGAGGAGAAACACGTAAAACACTCGCACAGAAACAGCAAAACCAGCAAAACTATCAGTGAACTCCCTACTCCCAACAAGTCTAACAATATCAACCAAGTAAAACAATTATAGCTATAAAAACATCTTCATGTATTTGAGGACTTTCACAGAGAAAATGTTTACGGAAATCAACTGAGATGTCACAATTACAGAAAACATTAGTAGAGTTCACAGAGCTACACACAGCCAAACAATTACCAAACAATTACAATCTATTACCACGCTCACAAATGCATTAATATTTCAGTCTAGAAGTCAAGCTCGCTTATACATACAGTATACAATATCTTAAGTTATGAATGATATCAGGTATTAAAGCATATGTGACCCACACCAGGCTTACGCTTCCACTGCATGAGAACTGCTGATGTGACACATTCAGGACAAGGAGCATCTCCACCAGATCTGATGATTATTTTAAATGCACTTTGCTGTATTTACACACTATAGTATTGTAATATGCTGTGGCGCTGACAGAGAAAGAAGCTCTAGAGAGCTGTATGAAACCCACCACTCCAATTAAACTTGTTTCAGGCCTGCAGCAGTTGCTCTTCTCTCCCTTAAAAAAAAAAGTAAACCAAAAAACTGCCAACAGCCACAGTTAGATTCATTTATATGTCTAAACAATAAAGCCGTGATTTCTTGGTTTTAGTAGTTTTGAAATGCAAGGTTTTGATGCAGAGAAAATGCAGATAAACCCAAAGCTTTTGGATTTTTTTATTTACTTGTTTTGAAAACAACCAAATCCTTTCTTTGTGCAACTCAAGTTCCTTTCCTCCTTTACTTGCTGCTAAGACCACTGTAATGCCAGTAACAGAACTAGAATGCTGGATCTTGTGACTGTAAATGACTCTCTGCTAATCATCTGCTAGTCAACTAGTAACCAGTAGTTAAAGTGAACTGTCATCAAATACTGTTTCTTATCTTAAGTGAGTTTGTATCAGAGACCATCAGCCAGTTACACCCACTGTTGTGATCTCCGGAAGCAATGGAACCGTATGTAAATACTCTGCTACATTAAGACCACAAAGACATCTACCCTGAAAGACAATCACACATCGGTTTGTTTTTTTTCCGTTGTTTTTTTTTTTTTTCCTGCAAGAGAGCTCAGCTTGCATTTACACTAGTGATTTAGCTTGGATCATGAGCATGCTTTTGAAGCAACTTGGCCATTCCACATTTACCATGCTTCAATTTTAATTTCAGAGGAATCTTGGGAGTGTACAAATTAGACTTCTTCGGGATGAAGCACTAGCATTGCTAACTGACATTGAGCTGCTCCTACTAGGATGTGCCATTTCTGTAGGCACAGCATCAGCCAGAGCCAAAATAACCAATTAGCATGGGTGAAGGGACACAAGGAGCACTGTAAAAAGTCACTTCTGTGCAAGGAATGCAACACAGGAAGCAGGAGAGCATGCCTGGAAAGGTTACAAAGCTTTTACAAAGGACACCATGAACATTAGCTCTACCATCATTTTACTGTGCAGTTGTATTTTGTGAGGCCCTGTACCTCAAAGAATACATGCAACAACACTGTTCTATGAATAGGAAGAATTAACACACAGATTGACTCTTCAGTAAATTTACTATATTTAATTTGAAAGAAGCTGAGAAGCAGCACATTTATCTCTTACTTCAGAAGAAATTAATTGTAAAATTGTACAGTTATGCTCATTTCCCTTCCACAGTTGTTCCTAATGCAAGTCACATGCCTGAACTGGCACAGCCCATTTAAAATGAATTCCTATTAGCTGTCACCCATGCCCCGAACTCCGCTTGCTACCATACCATAAATAATTAGCCTCCTAATATATACATACACCACTAACCACTGTAGTAATAAGATCTGATTACAAAGGTGATACATAAACCAACCACATGTTTATAATGCTAGTGCATTAGGACTTCAACATACATGCACCTGAGTATTCGGAGCCTCTAAAGGTTGGCTTTGAACATGTTTTCCAACAGGACACTTACATGTCCCAGCTCTAGCACCCAGCTGCACTGAGACACTATGGCCTGTATCTGTTTTATTTGTGACTGTTTCTTAGCGGGGGGAAGTAGAAGGAAGTTCACATTATGATTAACTAACTGGGCTGTTACCTTTCTTGTTGGCTTGTGTCAAGTTACTGAAGCATTTCTTATCAGTGGGCAAATAAACAAATATGAATTGTAGCACTGTAGTATTAAAGTCTCAACTGTAGTATTTGACTCCCCCAGCCTTGTCCTAAGGCAGTTCCTTCTTTACTAAGAGGGGGATGAGTGGCAAAGAGCACAACAGAGGAGACAGATAAGACCTGTAAAGGGATACCTAGAAGTGGATTATGAAATATCATAATTTAATGACTTTACTCAGTTTTTCCCTTGAAAAAAAATCAGCAGAATTTGAATTGTGAAGTACACACCAGGTAATCTTCACACGACACGAATAAATAATCTTCAAACAGAAGTAGAAGACATGTGGGTTTGTGCATTAGATGTTTTCAGAGGAATGGAAGCAGTCCAAGCACCCATCTCAGAAGCTTTGCTTTGAGCATACACTAGAAGCAATGAAAACTGGATCACATCTCAGTTACCATAGTAATGAAGTAAGGAACTGATGTCTCTTCTATTCTTGATCTCCAAGTGATGCCTTGCACCCACAAAGGGTAGATCTCTTTCCAAGTATAAGATGAGAATTCAGAAAGCCACCAACAGCTGCATCAACACAGGAATAATTTTAACTGTGCAAGTTTCTTGAAACTGTTGGTGAACAGTTTAAAAACATCTATTTGAGGAAAAAAATTAATTATACCGCATAGATAATCTGCCCTTCAGCAAAGCCACAAGCATTTTTCTGAAAAGCTGTTTTCACAGGTCAAAAAACTACCTACTGCAAGACATTTAAAACTGTAGTTTGTTTGTCTAAACGAAGAATTTCTACTGTTGGGTCCAGAGGCATGTAAAATTTCCTTTTTATTCCCCTCTATTTTTGTCTTGCAGGGAAGAAGTGATCTTTTTTGACTATCTCCAAATTTTGTTCAGAGGTTAGGTCTATATTTCTCTAGCTCAAGCCACTTCATAGTGATGGCAATGGTTCTGAATTAGGCAAGTTCTTTGCCTGTATACATACATATGAAAAAGAACAGGTTTGGAAATTTTTTTCCTTATGCATCTTTCTCTGCCCTTCAGGACAGGCCACTCAAAAATTAAGAAAAAGAAAATACATGCAGAGTAACATCAAGGTCTCAAATGTGTATCTGAGTGATCCTAACAGGCTGATGATTATTTTCTGGAAGCTGCTAAAAGAAGTCGCAAGTGAAGTCAGAGCATCATACAAAGGTGCCCCAAAGTCAAGTACCAAACTACCTATGCTGGGAATCAAAAGCAG